CATGGACTCTATTGCAGATAAAAGAATAGTGAAGAAGCATGCAGTCTCTGCATTCCAGATCTTGGCTTTGTTCCTCAGTTATGTGACCATAATAACTTCTTGGAGCTTCAACATCCATATATAGCAGCAGTCCCCAACTTTTTTGGCAGCAGTGACTAGTTTTGTGGAAGACAGTTTTTACAGGAATTGGCGAGTTAGTTTCTCTTTTTAGTTAGTGTTATGTTTGTGATGCATAATTATTTTCTCCAGCTCTGGCATCATTGCCTCAGCTCTACCTGAGGTCATCAGGCATTAGATTTTCTTAAGAATTGTGACCTAGCTCCTTTTAGATTTCTCAAATGTGCAGTTCACAGTAGGGTTCTTACTTGAAGGGAGGTGGAGCTCAGGTGTGATGTCAGTGGCTGTTGTTACAGAGGAAGCTTCAGTTACATACTGTACATGTCCTGCAGTGTGCCCAGTTCCTAACAGACCACTGACCAGTACTGTTTGTAGCAGGGGCTTGGGGCTCTGGTTGCATAGTACCTACTTCGTAGAGTTTTTCTCAAGATTAAGTTAGGTGTGGCAGTACTTTGTACAGAGTATGGCACATTGTGAGTGCTTGTCAAATGTAGCTGTTACTATTTTTGCAGTACTGGAGATTGAACTCTTGCCTGTGCTAGGCAAGCACTCTACCACTGACCTACATCCCAGCCCTTATTGTTTTAGTTTGAGACAGGGTTTTGCTCAGTTGCCTAGAATGGCCTTGAACTTGAGCTCCTCTAGTGGCTCCCTGTGGCTGAGATTATAGGCATGAATCACTGGATTTATTCTAGTATTATGACTATGTGTGGTGATATGGAAAGATTTGCAAGACGGTTGTAAAGTGTATAACATAAGGTATCAAGGAAAGCTTGCTGTACTATAAAATAAGGATTTCTTATGTGCATGCTGATATATAAATACCTTTCTCTTGAGGCATATCCTGGAAAATATTAAGTGATATATTTGAGGAATAGGACTAGGGATTGGAAATGGAAAAAAGATTTTCCTTTTGCTTTTATCTTTCTGATTTTAGTTTCCTTTTTGTGGAGCTTTAAATTTTTAATGGCATGTGCATATTCTTTTTATGTATTCTGTTTTAAAGATTTCTCCCTTAAATCACAGTTTTGATTTTGTATTTTTTTATTGGTCCTTCTTCCAAATTGAGCTTATATGGAGACTTGATAGAAACATAAATGGATGTTTTCTTGTGGAGGGAAGGTGTTTTGATATCGTAATTAGTAGCATAAGTAACTGCAGGATTTTGACCTGTTTTTTCTACTTTGCAGTTTAAAGCATTTTAGAAGTAAAAAAATTACTTGTTTGGCTTTATTCTGTGAACAGTCACTAGGATTAAGAAAACTGTTCAGAAGAAGTAATTCATGACAAAGGCTTACAATTAATATCACGATTTAAATTCATTTGTATTTCTTAATTGCATCCTTTGGATCATGGTGTGGTTAAGAGATCTTTGGTTTTAGAAGATTTCCTCATTGCCTTTTCATAAAGTCTTTCACAGGTTGTCAGAGATGTCAGTGTAAACACATCTCTTGTTCGGGTTGCAGGTGTTTTTATTGCTGTTGTAGCTCAGTTTGTAAAAGGTTCTTGTTGCATTTTTATACCTTATTTTCATATTATCCCTATTGAGAGCTCTTTTGGGACATTATGTCCTGTAGAAGATATTTGTAATGAGGATTATCTAAACAAAGAATCTCTTTTTGAAGTAACTATTTCATTTAGCTTCTCATTTTAACATCTGGAATAAACAGTTAATTGGTGGTGTGATGGCTGACTGGCAGGGTTTTTCTCTCTTAGCCATTTATAATGTTATATCTTAGTAATTAATGAATTTGATGAACTGTGAACTACAGCAGTTTGCTCTTCACAGTTTGGCCACAGAAACACTTGTGTTAGTGCTGAGATTGGTAGACGGAGTTGAGTAGCGTTGACATAGACATAGAACATTTGTTTTAGGTTTCTCTCATTTTAAAGGGTTTTGCTTATCTCAGTTTTGACAAAAGGATCAGAGTGTGTGAGGACTTTAAATTAAACATAATAATGAACCAGATATGGTGGCACATAACTGTAATCCCAGCACTTGGGAGGCTGAGGCAGGAGGATTGCATGAGTTTGAGGCCAGCCTGGGCTATCATAGTCAGTTCAAGGCCAGCCTGAACTACGTAGTGAGACCCTGTTTTCCGCCCCTGCCAAAAAAACATAGTGCTAGACATAATAATGAATACTCACATTAAATACAATTCATTAAGAGGCTTAACAGAGCCCTCAACTGAGTAGAATGTCCCTGTCTTTTCACAAAGAGGTTTTAAAGAATTTTCCCTTTGCTTCTCAGTCTGCCCTCAAAGATTTTATTCCCTACCCCGCTTTCAGCTCTTATAATTGTTTTCTTGATGCTCTTCTCTTCCTCCCACGTCTGTTCCCGTTAACACTCTGTGTGTGTGTGTGTTTGTGTGTGTGTGTGTTCAGTAGGCTTTTTTGGTGAGCAGATTTAGGTTTACAGAAAAATAAGTGGCAACTGACAATTCCAAAATACCTCTTCTCCTGTGAATTAACATCTTGCATTCGTGTGGTACATTTTTTCTGATTGATGGACTAATATTCATGTACATTGTTGCTAACTAAAGCCCATAGATTACATTAGGGTTCACTGTGTTTGTGGAGCATTTTATAGGTTTTGATAATGGCATATCACCACCATTTCATTATTATACAGAATAATTTCACTGCTGTATTCTATGTATTCGTTGCTTCTGTCTTCTCCTCTAATCGTGGACAAACACTAATCTTACTCTCTATAGTTTTCCCTTTCCCAGTACTATATGTCATATAGTTGGAATCATTTAGTATATAACCTTTTCAGATTTGCTTCTTCACTTGGCAATAGTTTTACATGGTTTGTTTAGCTTTTTTTAAAATCACTGAATAATATTTCAGTATATGGATATACCATACATGCATGTTTGTTTACCCCTTCACTCATTGCAGGACAGCTTCACATTTTGAAGTTTTGTCAGTTATGAATGGTGGGGATGGGCATGGTGGCATACACCTGTGGCAGGAAGATTGCCATGAGTTGGAGGCAAGTGTGGAATATATACTGAATTCAAGGCCAGCCAATACTACATACCAAGACCCTCTCTCAAAAAAAAGAGGGGGGGGGGAAGAATAATGATTTAACCTTTTAAAACATAATCTAAATTATCTCAAGTCACCTGTAAAAAAGTGTTGAGCTAATTCAGTAACTTGAATCTTACAGAGTCTTCTACTGTTGAACCAAAAATTCCTATTATATAGTCAGCTCATGATAATGGGCAGTAAATGTGTGTGGAATGATTGAAAGTGAGGGAAGGAAAAGTATTGAAGAGAGGAAGTAGGGGAAGATTATATTGAGTCTGGATAATTTTTGAGAAATGAGATGTTTTGAAGCTCAGCTAGGAATTCTAGTGGGGATGGAGATGTTTAGGACTTTGAATTCAACCATTAACTTAAGAACAGTTCAAAACAGAACTGTCGTCAAGCTGGTTGAGAAATCAGGCCTTTAGATCTGTATTGTAACAGAAGATGGATTTTATACAAAGAGATGTGGTTACTTGATCATCATAGGGTGGAGGTTATTGACATGAGGAATATAACCACAAATTCTACAGATAGTGGCCTTTAATTTGTATTTGTGAGTTAATACCTGTTTAACAGAAATTACTGATATAATGTGCAAAGTTATGCAGTTGTAGAATTTATGGCTTACTGAATATTTTGGTTTATTGTTTTGTGGAATATGAGATATATAGAGATTAATGAGCTGTAAATCCATTTGAATGTCTAAAATATTTTTTGTTTAGAAATGCTGCTTACTTAAGTTTATTTAAGAATACAAGTATACCCCTCCAGGTCAACAACTACTTCGAAATCTTGGGACTTCTGCACTCTTAATTGAAATTTAATTTGAACTGTGACTGATTTTTCAGTTAAAGATTTATCTGTTAAGTTATGGTAATGCCTTTGTGGTTACTCAATTTATAAGGTCAGAAGTAGTGTATATTTATATTTGCAGGATGTAAACAATCTATAAAGCACACAGGAAAATGCAAAAAAATAAATAGGGAGGAGGAGAGTGCAAGCTAGATTTGATAAATGTTCTAAGTTTTTAAAGAAGTGTGGTAAAATTTTTGGCTATGATAAGCCAGGAAGTTTGCATGAAAATGTTGGCAGTTGAGTTTTTACCTTTAAAACTAGTTAAGATTGGGTTGGTCAGTATGGGAGGGAAACAGCATTCTAGGGAGCAGTTTGTGTTCATTTGTAGGAATTTGGAAAAGGACATGAAAAGGCTAGAGAGGTAAATGAGAGTTCAAATTATGTAAAGCGATTAGTGCTGGGGTACAAGGGCATTTTTTATTAAGTAGAGGAAGCTTCCTGGGGCATGAATGAGGAGCTAGTAATATTAGAAAGGAGAGTGTTTTTTTCCCTCTTATTGTACATATGTTGATTTGTTTATAAAATATTTTGGAATTTTATATCTTTAAAATATACATATATTAATATATAGATCTTTTTACAGCTTCTAGCTTTATCTTAGACAAAGTGTGTTTCCTACAATACTATGTTAAGAAAAGCCTTGTATAAATTGGCTGTAACTTTTTTACCCTGTACCAGCATTATAGATATGTATTAATGTAATTACAAGCTAGAAAAGTATTTCTTGAACTAATATATGAATTTATAGCCTTACTAATATACTGATACTTTTTTAAAAAATGAAACTTTATTTTTTTTTATTTTTTATTTTTTTGGTTTTTCTCCGGTACCGGGAACCGAACTCACGACCTTGTGCTTGCCAGGCAGGCGCTTTTGCCGCTGAGCTAAATCCCCAGCCCAAAATGAAACTTTAATATAATTAAATTCCTTCCATTTTAAATATGGTTATTTATAGATTTTTTTTTAAGTGTAGATAATGTGTTTGCTTCTTTTGTTATAGAACTGTGGCAGCTGAAGTTAGGAAGCAGATCTCTGGGCAATATAGTGGCTCTCCTCAACTGCTGAAGAACCTCAGCATTGTTGGCAATATCTCCCACCACACCACAGTGAGTAGACATTCAAACTATGGTATGTTATAAGTGTGTTACTGAGTAGGCAGTGAAACAGTAGAAAGATAAGAGCCAACAAATCGGATGCTGTCACTGGTCTTACAACCTTACTTGTTGCCACCTCACTCTTGAAACCTGAGGTAGGAAAAGAGTATTAGGATTTGTTATAAAAGTGTTGGTTTCCAGTTAACTCTAAACCTTTATATTCAAGATTTAATTAAATCTGGAATTTTATATTTAGAACTTTTAAGACCCGAGATGATTCTCAATCTATGTGAAAATAAAGGAATCTGATTTAGAAATTGGTAATGAAGTAAATTTTAAATATTTCCTGTCCTACCAGAGACCTGTTCAGAATGTCTTTGCCTGTATGTTTTCTTCTAGCAAGTTCAGTGTTTATCATCCCTTCTGGTGAAAAGAAATGTATATTTATTCATTATTGTTTCAGAGACATAAATAAGCTTATTTATGTCTCTTATTCTCTTATTAAATAAGCTGGCACAGAGATAATCAGTTTTGATAAAACTTCCTATTTGTTATATTAAGAATATGAAATAAAACATACCTCAGTTTGTCTTAAAATTAGAGATCATTACTAAAATTTCAAATGCTATGGAAAACTAAAGTAAAAAATAGGATACTGTTCTATATTAACATTTTTCCAGGATACAAAAATCAGCATTTAAAAATCAAGAGCTTTTCTATAACCAGTAATGAATTAATTGAGAAAAAAAATCAGGAGAACAATTCCAATCACAGTAACTTCCAAAAAGAGAAAAGAAAATAAACAAATAAACCAGGAATCAACTCAGCCAATGAAGTTAAAGATCTCCACAATGAGAAGTTTGGATCACTGAAGAAAAATTGAATGAGACAGTAGATCCCATGTTCATAGATTAACAGAATTAATGTTGTTAAAATGACCATGTTACAAAAATAGTCTACAGATTCATTGAAATCCTATCAAAATTCTGATGCATCAGTCACAGAAATAGAGAAAATAATCCTAAAATTGATATAGAAACACGACTCAGAATAGCTAAAGCAATTTAAGAGAGCAAGGTTAGAGGCATCACCATACATAATAACTGATTTCAGATTGTGCTCAAGGAGCCATAGTAACCAAAACAGCATAGTATTGACACAAAAATAGACGAACATGTAGACCAGTGGAATATAATGGAGAACACAGAAGCAAACACACACACTTCAGCTGTCTGACTCTTCATGAGGACCCAAAATGGAGAGAAAGTAGCCTCTTTAACAAATGTTGGTAGGAAAACTGGATATCCATATAAAGAAGATTGAAAGTAGCTCCCTCTCTAGGTGTAACACCTGAAACATTGAACTTGCTAGAAGAAAACATACAGGCAAAGACATTCTGAATAGGTCTCTGGTAGGACAGGAAATACTAGGAAGAATCACCAAATGGACTACATCAGATAGAATGTGGGATGCATGGCAAGAGAAACAACAGAGTGAAGAGAGTCTACAGAATGGGAGAGAATCTTTACCAGCTACTGTTCTAGCAGAGGATTAGAATATATATAAAGAACTCAAAAAACTTAACACTTTGGCATATGGGAAGGGGACCAACAGATGGAGGAGCTGAGGAGAGGAAGGAAAGAGCACTTAAAAAGAATTGAGATGTGTTATGTACATGTACCAACTCTGCATAATGAATGTAATCATTATTTACTGCAAACGTACTAATAAAAATTAAAAAAAAAACCTCTGGCTTCATTTTTTATTTTCTTTTTTAAAAATTTATTTTAAAAATAAAAGAAGGAAAACATATTAACAGACATCCATTTCCAAAATAGCATAAAAACAATACAAGCAGTACAGAGTTACAGACAAAGTGGTAAGAAATTAACAATGGTTGTTGTATTACGTATTGATATCTTCGAAGTGGTTTCTCAGGAAAACAAATAGAGACATGCAAGATTGACCAAATAAGTAACCATTAACTGTTCCTTTCAGTAAAGTGATAGAAGTCAGTAGTACAATTATGTTAACTGTCCTGTATATACATACATACATAATTTCCCCTTTTTTTCTCTTTTCCCTCACCCCAGTTGCTCTTCACTTTTGAGCATTTTCCTTTTGTTTCACAATGTCTATCATCCCTCC